AATATATAAATATGACGCCTGATTAAAGTAATAAAGCTTATTAATTCGTCGTGATTCAGTTGTAAGATGTCTTTTTATTCTGTTACAGTGTAAACAATGCGGGAAGGCTTTCAAACGTTCAAGTACTCTTAGCACCCATCTTTTAATACACTCCGACACTAGACCGTATCCCTGTCAATATTGCGGCAAGAGGTTTCATCAGAAATCAGACATGAAGAAGCACACTTACATCCACACCGGTGAGTCTCTTATTAATCCATCGAATCATACAATAATTACAGAGAAAAGAATTAATTTCTGAACGCTCTAAAAGCTAGAAATATAAATGAAACGTTGAAGATGTAAACTAGAGATCGTGGCAAGTGCATTTTCCTTGCATTTTTCTTAATTTCAATTTTCAACGTCACTTTCATTATTAACACGTTGATGATGAATTTTAATAATTCGATTTTTTGAAATAAAATAATCGATACAGGTGATTTGCGTTATTGGAAATTTGTTGATCGATTGTCAAATCGAAGATAGACAAATACGATGTTTGAATAAAAGAATGTTTCAATATGAAAATAGCTAGAAGGAAAAAGAATCTATTATACGAAAAATATAATTGTTAAGACAATATTTTAATACTAAAATTGAAAAGAAAGATACATCACGACCGATTTCAATCGCCAGATTAGCTGACAGTATCAATTTTGAAATTGTTATTCCGTGAAAGATAGAAACTGCAACTCGTTTCGTTTCTTCCCTCTGTGGCCCACGATTAAAACATTGAATTTTCCGAACAGCGGCAACAGTTCGCAATCGATGAAACGAAGCTCACGTCAACGACGTGAAAAACATATTTCACAAAAAAAAAGTTGCTGCTTCGCGTGCTGGCGCGTTTGCAAGCGCAACTAGCTTCGTAATTGAAGAAACTTTGACATTTGTTTTTCAATTATTCACGCGACTCGTTCCACTTCTAATATGTTCGCAAAACGTTGCGACATGTCGAACGCATGGCAACTAGAGTTCGAGAACTTTTTCAAGCTCGCAACTGTCTCGGCTTTCGTTGCATCGCTCGTTGCAAACGATATTCATAGGTTCTCTCTTTTCTCAACTTTTTTCGCTCAACTTTCCCTCTCTCCCTCGTTAATTTCGTCAAATTCGTATATCGTAGTAGTATACCAGACTTCGATCGATCATTCTCTCGTCCAAAAACTGAAAGTTCGTAACTTTCAACTTGCCAGTTCTGGCTGACACTTTTTGCGGGCCTCGATTCTTTAGACGCGGAGAACGTGAAACTGTAAATTTCATCAGCGAAATATAAATTCACCAATCAAATATTCACACTGATAATAATATGAACTCATCAAGCTAAGTTATATTTAGTATCATTATTAATATATCAATATCAACTATATATAAACTTATATCAAGCTAGAATATTTAATATCATTATTGTTAATATATTAAGTGTGGAATCCACTGTATTCAAACTGAACCAAAAACAGCGTGGAATCTAAGTTGAAATTTGTCCTATCTATTACACACTATTATAAGCACTTTATTTTGAACGGTTTTTTTTTTTATGCGACTTTCGATTTCTCACAAACGCATGAAAATCCGCAGTCTACTAACTTTATACATACATCTCTCTCTCCCCTGATCCGATTCCCATTGGACAGGCGACGTATTGTGGCTGTCGTCGGCGAAATAAAAATTACGGTTATCACGTCGGATACGTGGCATGCACGATTCGCCGATACGTGTAAACGAGCGATACCGAAAAAGCCGTGGTGTGTCGTGGCTCATCCTGCAGACCGCGCCTCTTTGATCGACGCGACCCGTGCATGTTAATGCGCGCTACATATGCATATGTGCGCAATAGAACGCATCCTCGGCGATGCACACGCTCACGTCCCTCTTTCTCTCGTCTAATACATACGCACAACGCCTGTGTGTGTTTACGTGAGTGCACCTATGCATCGGTTCTATCGTCGACGACACACCGGCTTGCTTCCTCACTCAGTGTCATATGCCTATGAATCACGCATGGTCATCGTACAGTTCGCTATTGCGAATTTATTATAGATAGAGGCATACCACCGTTTGGTCGAGGGTAGTAGTAGCCTTTCGTCTGTTTAAAAAAAAAAAAAAATGGTAGAAAATAATTGTAATGCGTGCTTCTTTTCTTTTCTTTCCTTTTTTCTTGCCGCGAATTTATTGCAACGGAGAAGCTGTGGTTTATTTATTCAAAGAAACTAGTAAGGGGATGTTTTAAAATATTTATTAAAAGATTGGAGGACTCGATCATTTTGTTGTTACTCTCGTCGGTTGTAAATTGAAAATGATGTGGAAAGAATAGAAAAGAATAAGTAGACAGAAATGAAGAAAAACATTTTAAATTAGTCGAGGATGATGGTGAGTTGACCCTTATGCCGGAAGAGAAAGAGGTCGACACATCAAAGTCAGATTTCGATTACTTCGAGCCACGTGTGTTGGAACGAAACGCGGCGGACGTGTATCGAGAGGTAATCGAGGTATATATTTTATAAAATGTGGATTGCACGGATATCCATATTGATACGTATCGTACATTGTAGCGCGTCATGCTTTTCCCTCGTAAATCGACACGGTTTTTTAACCTTTTAGAACAGAACAGAATGCCTGAAAAGTTAATTTAACGCACCCTTGTTATGACATTAATCTTAAAGAATTCACCGTTTTCACGGTGTATATTATGGCTTTTTAAGTGATGAATGGTACGATTAAAATGGAAAGTGTTCAGTGATATGATACCATTTAAGACAGTAGGATGACTTGAGCTTTCTTTTATTGGGGCAGAAAGAAAGAAACTTTCGAGTTCTCTCGTTGAAAAGAACCTTCTACGAACATTTACACATATTTTTCATATTTTTGAAAAACAATCTCTTTGCAGTAATAAGGGAAAGTATAATGAAATTAAACAGAATAGATTGCAAATACCTTTACGAGCTCTTTTATATTTTTACTTCAATTTTTTTTAAATTTTCAATATTTTAACATTAGCAAATTTCTTTCATTAGACCTTTTAGTTATTTAGTTATTCCTTACTCCACTTATGTAATAATTGTAATACACAGAATTTTTTCTCCTCGCATCAGATATTAAAGTAATACTAAAAAAAAAAACCTCGATGAACGTTGAAAGAGAATTTATAAACAAAAAGTAATTTATACGGAAACTTAAAATAATTTTATATGTTTCATGATTATTTCTCAACGTGTTAAAGTGCTATTAGAGAATAAGGTTACGTAAATGTGTCTGTAATACTCATCAGATGCAAATTCTAATGGACTTAAAATCGACCCTTTGTTATTTGCCTAGTATGATACTCGATTGACAATCATAAAGATGTACGAACACATTCTACAGCAACCCCCTAATACATTAATGCGTTTAGCACGATTCAACCCTCTTAGGTGTATCGGAGATTAATCTATAATTTATCAAGAAATTACTAACCGAAGTGAATAGAATGATTATCTCGATGATTTCCCGTAAAATCTTTATAAAATATGCAACTTCTCGAAATAGAAAAATCGCCGTTCGTAAGCGGGAAAATGAATGAAGAATCGAACGAAAGACTTTTCACTTTCGATTTGGAATATTTATTCTGCTCGTGTTATAGTTTTCCAATAAATTTTTACTTACCAGATGATTAATCGGACAAATTGCCTTAACTAGAAATCAAAATTGTATTGTCGATAGATTGTAGACTGCGGATTTTTGATGAATTTATAGGAAATCCTCGAAGTATGCACGGAATGCATAATGGTATAAAAATATCCGCGGAGCATAAGCGCTTTCTATAACCCTTGGCGCATAAAACATATCGAGCTTCTGTATCTTTAATTAAATTTCACATTTCTCCATACCCAACTATAGAAACTGAGCTTAAGTTCTATTTCATCCACTGGATGTTATACTTCAGATTTTCGCACGCTGCGTGTATTATTGAATCTTTGAGCCTCGCGCGAAAATTAATTTTTTAAATTCCCACGTGATGTCTCGCGTCTTCGCGAATATCGTACCATCCACTTTCCAATAAATAATAATATATCACGCGATGTTACAACAATAATAATAATATTACCGAGTAACGTAAAAGATTGAAAGATACGTAAATGAAAGGAGACAGCCAATTTAATCTAGAAAGAAATCTCGATCAGGAGGGGGAGAATATTTTAGGGACGATTTAATCGCGTTCTCCGATTGAAACGACCGGAAGGAGATATACGAGTGATGGGAAACGCGTTGTTTGTCACGGACCGGGGGAGTTTCCGGTTAGCCACGTGGCTGGCTGGCGCACGAGAATCGCCTCCCTTTTTAATTAGCATCGGCATCGCAAGGGTTGGACGCCGTGTCTCCAGACACCTTTTATCCATTCTCGTAAACGGTTCTGCCCTCGTTTCACCGAACAACTATTAATGCAAATTTAATCGTTTCGCGTCGCGATTTCTCCCTAACGATTCGTCGTTAGGATACCAGCAGAGAATTTAGAATTTTTATGGTTGTCACTGCAGCCACTTCGAAAGTTAGAAATTATCGTATGGCGATTGTGTTTGTGTGATTTTAAGTTCCGACTATGGAGATTAACGAATGTGAAATCAGAGAGATTTACTTAGAGTTTCATTTCGATATTTTTAAATATTTCATAAAATAGAATCGCGTGTAATTCAAAAATTTATTAATTCTTAAAGCTGGAGTATGCAAAACTGTTAAATTGTTAGGTTTCTCGTAAGTCCAGAGACATTGGCAATTTATACACTTTTACTTCTACCATATATTTAAATGCGAATAAAAATTTAAATTGACGAGAAGGTCATTAAATACGCACAAGTATAAATGATTTGTTTCTTTAAACTTTTAATTCAAACAACATTTTAGAATGTCAGTAAAAGGAAAGAGACTCTTTAAATATATAGATACGTTCGACAAAATGTCTAGAGCACGGATTCTCCTAATTAATTATCCGAAAGAGCTTTAAATTGCGGCAATTAAACACCACAATATGAAATGTCAGATTGTATTGTTGAAAAAAGTTTGCCATTTGTTGTATCAGTATAAATTATATTCAATTTTATTCATAGTTATTATTCTGTTTCTAATTGCTTTTAACATTATATCTATATTCGTATCTTTGCACATCTAAATTGTTACATTATTGCACAGTGGCGATAATCTCCAAGGTGAACTAAAATCGTATCTATGATT